GGTCGTGTGGCTGCCTCCTTGCTGACATCATCACATACAATGCAGGAGTACCGGCAACCAATGGCCCTACATTGTGGGACATTGAAGGCCCACACACTTTTCAGGCCTGGAACAGGAGTAAAGAACTTCACAGTTGGACCCTGAGTAATAAGGTCAGTATTGCTCTCTATTACATCCACCTAGACTAACATTTGGGGAACAGCAACATGGCATTTTTTTTAAGTGGACCAGAACTTTCAAAAATAGATTTCATCATTTTTAAACATAACTTTGTTAGCAAAAAAGGGATGGTCAAACTAAGCTGCCGGTAGGGCGCCTATTAAAATGAACCTTTTACATTGCCCTGCCAAGTGCCCCATTTAAATGCCTGAAGATATGAAGAATGCCTAGGGGATATGTTACAGGTGCAAGGTGAGAAAACATTTTGGTTTCTCACAAGCCTTGTTTCTCTAATACAGATTTCCATCTACATAATATATTCAGCACAGGATTTCTTTTTTGTTTTGCCGGTCTGAGACAGAGCATTGCTGGCTCATTTTAATGATGACAAATGCAGTACTGAGCACTTTGGGTAACATGATGCTCCGTAATGTACTGCAGATCATGCGAAATGTGCTGAATGCTATTCCTGGCGAGATAATCAGATGCAGATGAGTACCCAATGCTTGATCAATAGGTCAGCTTGGGTTAGGTGCTTTCGGAGTTCTGGTGCTGAAATGATCATAAAAAGTTAATTGACCTCATCAGTTTGAAGACATTTGCTGTGCAGAAGGATGTCTCTGAACTCCCTGGACAACTAGGGGGATATCCCAACATTATTAAAGGGAAAACAGAGTGTGTTTTCAGGAATTGCTAATTTGGAGTGGTTACTGTAGACATCTCCAGCAGAGAGGGACAATTTTATGTAATGTCTTGGGGTCTCTGTTCCAGCGTGAAAGAATTGTAAACCCTGTTTCCTGGATCGTACTAGATATGTATGCCTTATGGGTCATGAGCAGTATCCTGTCCTTCTGTTCAGCTGTAAAGGAGATCCCCAGATCCCTCTCCCATTTTGCTAGATAAGGCTGGCAAAATTGATCGGGTGGGTCATTCAGCAGATGATGTAAGAGAGAAGGGACCGCGTTGGATCGGGGCAAGATCCAGACACAGTTTTTCAAAAGCCATGAGTGGAGACAGACTTGTCAATTTTCCCAAAGAATGAGTAGAAAAATGTCAAATCTGTAGGGCCTTCCAAAAGGGAAGCGGGGGGTCTGTACTGAAACGAATTGCAGATAGAGGACTATAGCCAGCAGAGGACAAGAAATGATGGATCTGGTAGAAATCGGATTGAACTAGAGGTTTGAGATCTCTGTCTAACAAGCATAGGAGTAAGGCACGGTGATCAAGAACCGGAGTCATGAGGGAAGGACATTGATCAACAGAAGAAGACCACGGTGGTCCGACCTGAAGACATCCAGGATCACCCCAATAAGCGGATGAGTACGGGAACACACAGTATGTGACCGTTCCAGCCCAAAAGTCCCCCAAGTGGGATATGGGAAAACCCCTTCTCTAACTGTAGGCATCAATTTCCTAAACTGGTTCTGCACCAGTCTAGGACTCACGCCATATGCACCACTTTATGGTATTTCACCGGGCTCGGAAACCCAATGCCCCCTCTATGCTCCAGCTGTGCCATAAGAAACATGCTCTGACGGTATATACATACGCACACACATACATATACAGTGTGTGTGTGTATGTATATATATATATAATTTTTTTTAAAGTGAAGCTATAATGGTTTTAGGTCCATTTTTTTAAAGCTCATGTTTTAGATTGCTTTTTTAATATACATTACATATTTGCCTTAAAATTAAACATGAATTACAGGATTCCCAAAACACTAGGATAGCAGTAGTGGCGTTCTGCCTTTTGGCCCCATTTCTCTGATTGAAACTTTAAGTGTAACTATGGCTAGACTATAGACACTCAGACATTTGCAAATCCTTATCAGGCAGTAAATAAACGTTAAAACAAGCCCTCACTAAACTCTGTAGCTAGAGGCAGTGTGGAACAATTCATCTTCAGATTTAACAGCAAAAGCACCGAACTCCTTGCTTAGGCCAGCTCAGCTCCTTTTGCTCTTCCCTTCCAGAAGTGACTCAGAAGCTCATCTTCTCCTGCTCCCCTCTTTTATCGATATAGTAGAAAAAAAAAATCTGTGGGAAAATGTTTTATTAAATATACATCCCTTTCCCCTGGCTTCTGTCCCTGGCACCTAGGCACACTGCCTCCAGCAAGATCCCAGAGAATACTGAGTAGTACTAAGGGGCCTTGATATTTTAAAAGGACCTGGCATTTTACCGTAAGGTCCATTTTATGTTTTCCTGCCACAGCATAAGTGTTCCCCACTCCATTCTCACTGCATTCTTCACAATATGAAATATACTGTATGACCATCCAACAGAGAGAAGGTCTACATAAAAATAAAAGGTTTTACACTTGCCTGCAGTTCACTGCTCCCTTACTGTGCAGTTCATGTTATTAAAAGAAACTGCACTCCCCTGCATCCTAACATTGATTTTCTCTGATATTAAGATCTATTTCTACTTTCGAACCCTGGCACCTCCCTGTAGTGTTAAACAAATAAAACTTCATTGATTTCAAATTGCCTTTATGGTTTTGTCATTTCTTAAAATTGATTGTTCAGCACCTTGTCCATCCATTATTTTGAAAGTAAAAGAGGCAAGGCATCATGGGAGCATTTTATTAAATATGTCACGATGTTAATGGGTTTTAGAAAAATGCTGCTTAAGGTCACCTTTTTTTTCTCCACCTTGTACACTCATGCTTTTTTAAAAATCAGAATAATGAATTTAGGCCTCGTTCAGATAGGCAGTTAGGCACTTGATCTGCGTTTTTACTGCCCACCTTAAAGGTACAATATCGGCCCATATGCCCTGTATACATGCCATGGCTCAAATGCTTTATGTTGTGGTTGCGGCAAGTTTTAAACAGCATGTTGCTTTTGGTCAAGCGAGACAATTGTGCATAATGCATAAGTATCGTAATTATCGTAATTATAGCTTCCCATTGGGATTAAAAAATATATACCGCTCAGGAGGCGGCAGTATTGTCTCCTGAATGCCAGGCAGCTGCTGCTCTTCCTGCCTCTGAAAAGTGGTCTACCGCAGATCACAGTTCAGAGGAGCGGTAAAGCTGAACCCCCATCTGAAAAAGGCCTTAGAGACAAACTTTTGTGAGGGGATTTAAGGTTCAGTCACAATTTTGCAGCCATTTTACCATGTGCTTTGATGCACATTTGTTTGATGGGCGTTGTACTAAGCATATCAATACATTTGAAAATGGGCCCTCAATCTGCATCCATGGGCCAAAAACTTACCTGCCTTATTGTGTGCTCTTGTTTTGGGTGTGTTTGTAATTTGGGGTGCCATTGAAAATAAATGGCAATCCACATAGATCATACATTTTGTACTGCACAAAAAGTGTGTAGACAGGGGTGAATGCGGTCTTATAGTGCAACTGAAGCCGATTTTCTTTTTAGTTTTGGATGGAATGGAGAGAAATTAGAACATCTGTCAGTTTTTTTATTGTTGTATTTGTCCCCGTTATGGAGCTTTGCTCTCTAAAAGTAAAATAAAAATAAAAATTTTGAGTTCCAATAGGGACACTCGTTCTGGTGACCCTGTGGTCCATCAGTGATTTTTGCTCACTTTGGGGAATTTCCTCTCACTTCCTGTTGTAACTATTGGACAGGAAGTAAAAGGAAATCTCCCAAATGGGACAAAGATGGCAAAAATAGCTGACAGGTGTTATAACCCTCCCTTACTCTATATACATCTATTTTTAAAAATAAAAATCCCGGATTTACAACAGTAAAGAATAAGAATCCCATCTATAAGACAAAAGATTTGATGGTTTTATTTAAAGTGAACCCGCACTTTGCTCACGCAGGGTGAAGCAATGTGTTCACAATAATTTAACCCTCCCCAGCAGCACATTCTTACCTTCCATTCACTCCTCCTCTTCATTCAGCTGCTGGAAGTGAAAAAAGGAAGTCATATGTAAGCTGCAAGTGACCAAGGTTGCATCTTACAAGGAACTATGGACTCCACCGTGACAACAGTGATTAGCCCAGTGCTATCAAATAAAGTGAATCACATACTTCTCCAAATATGAAAGTACTGGGTATTTCCTTCGGCCCTCAGATCTAAACAAAGCTGCAGAGGAGGAAAAGAATGGTAGACGTATGTCAAGGAGCGGTAGGTACTTAAAGAAAACCTGTTGCTTTGCTCTGAATGGATAAAACATAGGTTTTCTTTAAAGAGGAACTAAACTGTAAAAGGTGTGCCAAAAAAAGGGCCTGCAGAGGGCAAGACTAGTCACCAGTTTTGTTCTCCCTGCAGCTGATCTTTTTCCCATTCCCCATTACTGATTTACCATGCCTTGTTCTTAGTTGTATCTGTGTGGAGGTGGCCATCTTGATAGAGGTATCCTAGAAAGTGCACACTTCTATTTTTCAGGAGGAATTCAAGACAAACATTTTTTTCAGATTATGCCATAGGCACAGTTACTATTTCTAGATGTTCCCCATATTTAATCCCTAATAAAGCAAATTTTCATTTGTTGAAAGTGGGCCTTCTGTGTTCAACTCCACTTTAGCTCCCAGCAATTCTTCCACCACTCCCCCTCTCCACGATATAAACTGACACAGACTTTTTTTTTTACCATTCTCATCCATTCTCATCTAGGGACTTACAGCAAACAAGAGGCAGACCTTGCTGCACATCAATGGGGGCCCGCTGCAGAACTCAGAAGGCTATGACAGAACCCGATGACATCACAGAGGAAGATGGTAGCACGGGACTCGGGCGGGTGGCAGCGGATCAGCAGATTACAGTAAAACAACTATGGATTTGCTAGGCCATTGAGTATGTATTCTTGTGGGAACTCAGCAAAACAGGTAAGAGGGGATGGGGGGAAAGAAAAACAGGAAGTGGGGGGTGTCCTTTGTCCTTTTTCCATACTGTATGCAATATAACAAATTTTTTTATGTTGCATTTATTCGCCTTTTTTGTTCATTCTAAAAGCAAAAGTCCCTGGGAAGATCAAAATCTACTGCTGTCCAGCTAGATTCTTGTTCCTTGGCACTGAAATGGAAACTAAATAGGCTTCGCTGGCCCACAACTACCATATGGGTGATAGGATGGAAGGTGCCATCCGTTCACTATCTTCTTTGGCAGGTTCCCTTTAGAGCAGGCACTGCCCAAACACAAACATTCCATTAATGTATCACTATGGACATCTATACAACTGACATTGTTTATCCTTGAAGTCAGTAGCTCTCAACATGGAATGCCTTAGGCTAGCGATTCCCAAACATTGTGTCATAGCATGTTCATTTTTGTTACACTGCTAGGCTGGACATGTCATAATAATTTATTGGGGGTCAGCTGAATAGTCTTAAAAGAAAAGGAAAAATTATAGATATACATCAGATAAGAAATAATGTGTTTTCAAAATGATAGATGAAATACATATTTGTGTCATTTATTACTATCCATTATTAAAGTTATGCTGCATTGCATCATTCTATGATTAGTCTATAATCTATAGAAATGATTACAAAACAAGTTGGTTACTGTAGCGGGAACGTCAGCTGAACTGTCTCTTGAAGTGTTTTTTACCCTTGTAGTGGGTTTACCCCCGTACTGAAAGAGTTCAGTGCTCATTTTTGTTATGGTGCTAAAAAAACAAAAAAGTGGAGGCTGGGAGAGGTCGGTGACCCAAGGGACCTGGTGGACATTGCTGAGAGAGTCAGTGACCCACGAGGGGAAGCAGTGTGAGTATCACACAGAGGTGTGATGAGCGGCTTGGAGCTGTGGAAAGCTACTGAGCAAAACTGAAGACTATATGCTGAAGAAAAGCTGATTATTATGAGAATGTTGGCTCTTTTGTGGACAAAAGACTATCATTTATGTTGCTGCCGTAAGCTGTCTTGTGTAACAGGGGAAGTCTATCCTGTTGATGGAAAGAGACTTTTTGTGTTTGACCTTAATAATACTGCATTTTACTTGCATTTCCTGACTGTAATCAAGTGTGCTTCTTACAAGATAGATAGATAGATAGATGGACAATATGAGAAACTTACCAAGGCAGTCAATCTACAGCCTGGTAATGCAAAAATCCCTCTGTTTATTGACACATTAATTTTATAGTGTATTCCCTGTTTTAATAGAAGCCTTTCCTGGCCTGATGTTGTCTTCCTGGCAGCTTTAGTGGATAGCTCAAGTTTACAGTTCCCCCTGTTTGTACATTCTATTGTCATGGAAACAGATGTAATGTTACTGAGCAGCATCAGTCAGCTTCTTAACCATCTATATTTTGTAATAGCAATTCATTATTGATACGGAACCAGCTTCTTTCCGAGTCCATCGTCATGACAAACATGGTACCATAAAGCAATGCTCACAAATTATTAAAGTTAGTGTTATTACAGATTTCTAATCTAGTTCAGTTGATCCTATACAAATAGGATCTGGAAATAACTATTGTGCAATTTGGAGAAATATTGAATGGTTTTCCAATTATTTGATTAAAGAAACCATGTGCTGTCATCCATTGGCCTCAGCACTTTCTGATTTCCTCATCTACATGATTTTTCCAGGTTAGTATTTCAGAGTGATGAGGTCAGATACAGCCAGGCAATTAGTATCATTCGTGTTTCCCTTAGTACATGTTGTCAAAAATATTGATTTAGTAAGGGCAAGATGCTAATAGTGAAATTATCACTGTAAAAAGAAGAAACAACAAAGGCGTTAAAAAGTGATGTAACTAATATAGCGATGACGAGGCAGAAGTAAATATACGAAGGAGATTTGGGAATTATGTTATGTGAAGAATGCAACTATTGCCTGTATGTACTGAGGGTCCTTTGGAAAGTATTAAAGTGCAAATATTGTGAAAAATCTGAACTTCTGTCAGGTTTCATTGCTGTCTGTGGCCCCACTGGGAAAAAACTTACCCTCTACATTTGTCTTGTCTTGGTGACCACTGCCATGTGACAGAAAGTGATGGGAAATCCAACATTTTAGAATTGTTGTCAGAACAAGAAATAAGGGGTACATCTTCTAGTAAGAGACACCTATTAGGGAAACAATTGTCTGAAGGTATAAATTATTTTCAAAACTCCAGGGTAAAGATGATAAAATGGCATTATATGTGGGGGACAGATGGTGTTGAAGGCCCCTTTTTAAAGTTTGTTGTTCCAGTTTGACATACAGTAGTTGCCACATTTTGGACAGAAAGGACAACTGATTTGCAAAAGGTGTGAAACCTCTTGTGAACCAGTTGTCCTCTCTGTCCAAAATGTGCACCTCACTGTCCTCATAAAAATTTCCCTTTTCTTTGAGGTGTAGGAAAACTGCTGAGTCTTGAACTGTTGAATTTGCCATTCCTATGTTGGGCCATTCGTAACGACGTTTTAACATCTCTACCCTGGGGTTTTGACAACAATTCACACCTTCAGCCATGAATTGAAGGTTTAACACCTATACAGATCTCCTGACACCAAGGACAGGATTATGTACCCAGAGCAAGGTGGTTACACACCTTTCATACCTCCCATCCTGTACCTTGACAATCAACATTTGCCTTTCCATGTTGAATGGATTAAAGTACAATTAAACCTTATTTTTTGGGGGGGGGGGGGGGGGACTGCTAGCAAGCAGTAGACATATGCAAAAACATAAAAAAAAGAAAAAAGTTACCAAACAGGTTATTACTTACCTGTGTCTCCTCCGCTCACTCCCGTCCCAAAATCTGAAGCTTCTCGAGCGGCTGTGAAGGATCATGGGGCGGGCGCATGCGCAGTAGAGATCTTCAGCCAGGAGAAGCACAGGGTAAGTCAATGCACGCAGCCTGGAGTGTGCATGCACACAGACACCATGGGACACAGAAGACACAGCAGTCAGTGCTGGATCAGAGACACCAGCACCAGCGCTGGAGGGACTCCTGAAAACTACTGGAAAGAAGAAGATGATCGGATCAAGAGGCATAATTTAAGGTAAGTCCTTAAAGCAGCATGGGGGGGGGGGGGGGAAAAAAGAAGTATCGAGGGTC